AGATGCCTGTTAACCCTTTCCAAATGGTCCTTCCCAGAATAGCAGTCAGGTGTGATTTGAGACCTTTGATGAGGCCAAGAGCCTTTGCAAGAGATCTGACGTCCTTCCATTGCCTTACCTAGACAAGGCCCTGAGCACTGTCAGCCAGCGGATGCAGGGGCTCTTCCTTGCAGACTCAGAAATTCTTTCTCTAAACCCAGAGCATCTTCTGTCTCTGAGCCCTCCAAACTCACCCTTACCGTATTGCCAGGACCCATAGGATTCCACTGGAGTCATCCAATCACGCCCATATTTTACTTTTGCTGGCCTACAAGAATGTTATTTTGTGTTAGTTCAAGCTAATAGCTATTCAATAGATTTAGCTTCTCTTGTCCTTGATTTCTTCTCTTCTTTATTCCTCTACGTCTAGAAGAGCAGTTGACTTCAGTCTAATTATGCTTTCAAACATCAGAAAACCCAGAGGCAAGTAAATAGAGATATTGGGACATCAGAAAAGTCATGAGTATTTTTGCATAGAAAAACATAGAAAAATATGTCATGAGTTTTCGATGACCCAAATAGATACTTTTGTCTCAGAAAAAAGAAACTAGAAGAAGAAAAAAAAATTATTAAAATACATTTTTTAATTATTATTTGTGAGAGGGCATATACCTTTGCCAGAGAGGTAGAGAGAAAGCCCCCCCCATTTCTAGTACACACACACACACACACGCACGCACACACACACACACACAACTGGCATATTTTTCAAGCCACTGTTACCAGCATTCCAACTTGATAAACCATGTGGAATCTGGCTCCCTTAATCACCAGGCTATAGAACTGGCCCTATTGAAGTATCTTGATACATGTATGTAATAATATAAATAATAGTATTTATTATTTTAATCTAATAGTTTCTCACTTCCATTCCCCTTTTTCTATCTACATCATCAATACGTGGTTCACAGAGACTTTATTATGCATGCTCCGGTGATGATTGAGTTTTTTCTCTCACCTCCTCACAGCAGTATAATTTTAGTCATGCCACACTCCCTGTGGCTGCCTATCTTCTCACCATTACACCAGCTCTTCTGTTCCCCTGGAAAGTACTGCCCATATCAACCTTGCAATGCTGATAAACTTCTACTCCGCTTTGAAGAATTATCTGAGCAGGTCAGCAGGTGGCACAGCAGTTAAGGTGTTGGACTCCTACATGGCTGACCATGGTTTGAGTCCCAGACCTGGTGGCTGGCTTTTTCACTTTCCCTTTCTCTATCTTTCTGTCTCTCTCTTATCAAATTAAAAAATAATAATAACAAATAAAATAAATTATTCTTTTTTAAAAAAGAATCGTCTGAGATATGATCTCTGTGACTTCTCCATGTTTTCCCACCCAAATTTAAAGCATCATTATTTATATAGCGCCTTCTAATTGAGGCACTTAGACTTAAGATGACTAAACAATTTATTATACAAACTAAGGCACTTTTTTTTAAGAGAGATTTTTGCTATAGGGTGTGTGCACTTGCCAGAGAAACGCAGAGACAGAAAGTGAGAAATCACCCCTTAGGGGGGATTGCCATGCCTCAATCCCTTCTCCTCCACTCTCCTCTCAGGATCTTGGGCATGCACATATAAGTGCCCATCATGAATTTTAAGTTGCCAGGTCCAGGACTTGAACCACTATCAACTAAATGGGAGTCCAGCGACTTAACCATTACACCATCAGCTGCTCCCCAAATTGAGATACTTTTAAAAGAGAATGCTACTTTTAGTTTTTCCCAGACAGCAGGCATAAACCAGGATTGCCCAGACAAACCAGGATGCATGGTCATTCTGCTCATCCTGACATAAGGATTGTCTACTTGTCCATCATCCCTTCCTCCAACAAACACACACACATGTGCAGTTTAGGAATCCCTAGCAGCAAAGACCTCAATGTCTGGTACAATTACTGGCATAACAGCCAATTGATTTATAACTCATACGAATTTAATTCAAGGAGAACATTCTAGACTAATGGAATAGACAAAGAAAAGGAGATGGGAGGGCACATTTTCAAGGAACAGCCAAATCCTTCTGGTGGAACAGATGTTTAGGCATTGGAACCTAATTTTGGAAAAGATTGTGGTATTTTTAAAAAAGTGGAGGAATGGGGGAGGTTTCAACATAGGGATGAAATAAAGGATATTTGATAATTGTATGTCAAGTGGATCAGAAGGAGAGGAAGGTATAGAGACCCACAGAGACTATTTGGATATGAAAGGTAAAATTTGGCCAGCTGGGATAGCATAGTAGTAGTAACACAATACTCTGTGATGTTGGGGTCACAGGGGAGGTTCTGAGTTGTGTCCCGAGAACTCCCTATACACACCGAGTGCATGTGTGTGTCCCTGATCTGGGCTGGCTGAGGTGGATGTAATATCATGGTGTGAAGATTCTGTTGTAGGTGCCTCTGTCCCTGTTTCCCTCTCTCTTAAGAAAGAAAGAAATAAAAAAAAAATATCTCAAAAACAAAACCTGGTAGAACGAAACTTGAAGGAATATCACATACTGTTAATGTTCTTTGTTGAAGATGAGGTATATGGTAATATCCTTGATTTGATTATCACATGCTCCATGCATGCTTTGAAAAACAATATTGTACCCCCTCAAAAGTACAATTAAATATAAATTGAAAAATGTAAAATAAATAAAAATTTTAAAAGTAAATAAATAGGGGCAGTCGGTGGTGTAGTGGTTAAGGCAGCTGGATACTGCATGGTCAATTGTGTAGTTCAAGTCCCCGACCTGGTGGTTTGAGAAACGTGCTGGGCACATGTGTCTCCATGTCCCAAATCCTGAAAAGAGTGAGAAATGGAAGAGAAGCGGTTGCAGCATGACCCTCCCCCATGGGAGGTGCTTTCTTACTTTTCCTATCTCCCTCTCTCTCTGATGAGTGCCTGCACCCTCTGACAAATTTTTTTTTTTTTTTGTGGGGGGGTTTCGCCTTAGGACGTGTTGCGCT